TGAAACAATATACGATAGAATGAATATAAAACTAATGTTCTCCCATGTAAACTATGACATAATTCACAATAAACCATTAAAAAAAAAGAGAGAGACAATGAGAGTAGAATGGACGGAGGTGGCCTAAATGTCCATCAACAGGAGAATGGTTAAACAAACTGGTCCATACACACAATGGAGTACATCACAATGCAGAAAAATAATGATGAATCTGCAAAACACCTCCCAACATGGATAATCCTGGAGGACATTATGCTGAGTGAGATTAGTCGATCACAAAAGGACAAATACTGTAAGAGACCAATGTTGTAAAAAGGAAAGGAAAGGTTTTCTTGATAAGAGAAACAATCTATGACAGTTAGTAGGGTTGTTGTTAAGTACCGTGGAGTCAGTTCCGACTCATAGTGACCCTGCACAGGGTTTCCAAGGCTCTAAATCTCTACGGGAGCAGAATGCCTCATCTTTCTCACGCAGAACTGCTGGTAGTTTCGAACCGCCGACCTTGAGGTTAGCAGCCTGATTCGTAACCACTACGCTACCAGAGCTCCTTGGTTGCTAAAGTGCCATCGAGTCGACTCCAACCCATAGCGACCCTGAATAGGGTTTCCAAGGAGCAGCTAGTGAGCTTGAACCACCGACCTTGCAGTTCAAACGGCTTTACAGTCTGGCACATTAACCCACAGTGCCACACTAGGGTAGTGAGGATGGGAAATTATTCACAGGCTAGAGGATAGACATATGTTAACAGTTGGCATAGGAAAGATGAAGGTAGTGGAGACACAGGGAAGAATGCGAGAGTTAAAGGTAGCTATTGTTAACTGATGGTACATGGAGGGGGTTGCAATCGTTGTAATGAAGCTAAAAAAGTATATGAATTGTTGAATGTAAAACTGATGACCTGCTCTATAAACCTTCACTCAATTTACAATCAAGAGTTAAAAGAAAGAAAGAACTCAAATGATGTACTGTGTTAGACAAATCTGCTGCAAAAGACCTCTTCGAAGACTTGAAGAGCAAAGATGTCAGTTTGAGGACTAAGGTGCCCCTGACCCAAGTTACGGCATTTTCAATCGCCTCATATGTGTGTGAAACTTTGATGACGAATAAGGAAGACTGGCAAAGAATCAACACATTTCAATTGAAAGTACCATGTACTCCTGGAAGAAGTACAGCCAGAATGCTCCTTAGAAGCCAGGATGGTGACACTCTGTCTCCCATAGTTCTGACATGTTATCAGGAGGGACAAGTCCTCGGGAAGGGCATTATGCTTGGTAAAGTGGAGGATCAGCAAAAAGAAGACCCTCAAAATCATGGAAGTGTAGTATTGAATCTTGTCAGTTCAGACTCATAGAGACCCTCAGCACAACAGAACAAAACACTGTTCAGTCCTACATCATCCTCACAATTGTTATGTCTAAGCCCATTGTTACTGCAACTGTGTCAATTCATCTCACTGGGGGTCTTTCTCTTCATCGCTGACCCTCCTCTTTACCAAGCATGACATCCTTCTCTAGGGACAGGTCCCTCTTGATAACATGTCCAAAGTATGAGACACGAAGTCTCGCCATCCTGGAAGTCTATAGTACTTTTAATATTCTGTATATTGGAGGACATTATGTTGAGTGAAATTAGTCAACCACTAAAGGGCAAAATATGTGAGTATTGCAAAAACTCAAGAACGTGTTTTCAGATTAGAAGAGGCATTCTTTGATGATTACTGGGAAGGGGGCAGTGAGGGAGAGTAATTTACTGTCTAGAGGGTCAATACACGCTAACTCAGGTGACTGGAAGACAATATACAAGAAGGAGGTAGACAGAAGAATGATGAAACCACATGGAGGAACGCAAAGGTTAAAGAGGACAGAGGTAAAAACTGCTGTATACAACTCTGAAACCGCAGTGTTCTATGGGTAGATACACGGATAGATACACATGCTGAACAGGTATAGGAAGGAGGATGGAAGTATGTGTAAGGGTTTGACAGGATATTTGTACATAGATATTTACCTTTGTTGCAAACAATGTGGTAGAACATACAGGGAGAAAAATGATGAATACATCTTAGACATTAACAAACACCTTGAAGCAATGAGTTGCTGGGTCTGGGGGCTCAGGACCATCACCTCAGGGGACATCATGGTCAACTGGCATAACATAGTCCACAGAGACAATGGTCTACAGCTTACTTAGGTGAATAGCAACTGGGATCTTAAAAGTTCATAAACGGCATCTAAGGTGCAGCTATTGGTTTCTCTGTGTGCGGAAGACAGAAGAGTAATGAAAATTGAAGATGCTTGGAATCAACTAGTCCAATGGAGTAACTGAACACGTGACCATCAGTCTCTATGAATCAAAAACTGTGCCCAGCTACCACTACCAACTGCTCTGAAAGAGATCACATTAGAAGGTCCTGGATAGAGTGGAAGAAAATATGGAACAAACTCAAAATGATCAAAGAGACCTGGCTTACTCATCAGAAAGAGACTGGAGGAACTGAGACTGTGGCCCTCGGCCACCCCTCAGGTCTGGAAAGGAACTCACCCTTGTGGCCCAATTTTCCGCCAAGCATTAGATGGGTATATATGCTGAGGACACCAACACTATTAAGGTATGTTCACATGGAATGGTCAGCCAGTCAAGATCAAAAGGGCAACGTTTACTTAAGGACAAAGTTGAGAAGGGTTGGGAAGGAGTGTGGAATGGAAGTAAGATCCGTAGGGAGGAAGTGGGATAACTGTTGTTACATGGAGGAGATTGCAATCATTGAGATGAAGCTACATGTATGATTTGTTGAGTGTAAACTAATCATCTATGCTGTAAACCTTCACTCAATTCACACACAAAAATTTCAAACAATGTTTTTGTATTCATCGTTTCTTTTTTGGCATTAAATTGCATTTTTTTAAGTATCACATTAAAATAGCTTTTATATATGTTGATTACTGAGTTTTTCAGCTATTGTGCCTGTTATGAATTGATTGTGTCCCCCCAAAAAATATGTGTCATAAATCCTGGCTTCTATGCTTATGGAGTCCTGGTGTGGCACTGTGGGATAAAGCACCGGACTGCAAGGTCGGCTTGAACCACAAGGTCAGTGGCTCAAACTCACCAACTGCTCCTTGGAAACCCTATACAGGGTTGCTATGAGTCAGAACTGACTTGACAGTACTTAACAGCAACATGTGTGTTATAATCTAATTTGGGAATGAGTTGTCTTTGTTACATTAATTGACAGGATTTGTGTAGGATGTATCTTAAATCAACCTCTTTTAAGATATATTGTTGCTGTTACGTGCCGTGGAGTTGGTTCCGACTCATAGTGACCCTGTACAGGGTTTCCGAGGCTGTAAATCTTTACCGGAGCAGAAAGCCTCATCTTTCTACTGCTGGTAGTTTTGAACTGCCGACCTTGTGGTTCACAGCCCGATTCATAACCACTATGCTACCAGAGCTCCTTTTTTAAGATATAGAAGAGATTAAATAAGCAAGCAAGACAAACAGAGATGGGGTAAGATAGATGCTGAGCCACGCAGCGATATCTAAGGAAGCAGGAAACAGAGGCAGATCGACAAAGACCTTCCTTCAGAGAAAGCATTCCCCGAGAGTTAGCACTCTGAATTCGGACTTCTAGCCGCTGAAACTGGGAGAAAATAAATTTTTGTTTGGTAGAGCCACCCACTTGTGGCATTTCTGTTATACCAGCACTAGCTAACTAAGACAATGTTCGATGTCAGTGCTTTACTGGCCTTACCCACATCCCCTACAAATCACACAGCAACAACTGTTGTGTGTGCTGTTGAGTCGATTCCAACTCATGACACCATATGAGTGAGCAGAACCGCCCCATAGGGTTCCCAAGGCTGTAATCTGCACAATAGCAGATGGCCAAGTCTTTCCCCGCATGGAACTGCTAGTGGGTTCGAAACACTGACATTTTGGTTACAGCTGAGTGCTTTAACTATCACATCACCAGGGCCCCTTCTGGTAACTGTAGAGGCTTTAAAACTATATACTGAGTATTGGTGGGTCTCAGCTATGAAGCCCCAATAGGGTCCCAGAAACCTTATGCTGTCAGGAGGATACCAGAAGCAATCTAAGTGTCCATCGGTGGAGGATTGGTAAGGGGAGGGTGGAAGACTCTGTCGGGTCAGACACGGTAATTGACATGACACTAGCTGGCAGTATAGACACGGTAATTGACATATCCCTTCAACAAGTTACAGAACACCCTGGGTCCAAGCCAGAGAATCTGAGGCTTCTTTGGGTGAAGACAGTATGGGAAAGGGAACAAGGGTCCTGACAGGGTGCTGACCTGAGCTGTAGAGCTGCAGAGAAATCTTAGGTGACTTTTCTGTCCTGTTCTCGACCCGCGACTCCACCCAGAGCGTGACAACACTGAGCACAAGCACTCCATCCTGATCGGAGAACTGCAGCGTGGTGGCTGAGCCCATTTCAAAGTAGCAGCAGTGCCGGGGGCTAAGGCTGCGAAAAAGAAGGTATTGATGATGAGTCCCAAGTCCTACTGGACCCAGGATGTCAACGGCCACAGCAGACGTTGTGATCATCTCCCAGCATCCTTCCCTGCCCTTTCTATTTCTCTTCCTGCTACTGCCTGGAGGATCCTTGGAGGTTGGCCTGGGTCTTAGGGAGTTGTGGGGACCCCAGAATCTCCCAGCATTGGCAGCCATAGAGAGAAGGAAGAAATGGATGATGAGTGAATGAATGAATGAGTACAGAGGGTGAAGATGAAGGAAGGACTAGAGGTACCCTTAAGTCACCCACTCTGGGATGCCCACCCAGGCTGACTCCATATCACAGAGGCCCAGACCTGTCTTCTCAGATGAGAAACGGAGGCACAGGAAGACATAATGACAAGCCCAGGTCATTCATCTGATTGAACATTGGGGAGCAGAAGCGAGGGCAGGAGGGTGGAAGAGGGTTTGGGAACCAGATGGGGTCCTCACCAACACCTCAGGAAGTGGCTGACCCCGGTCAATGGGCCCTCATACTGCCAGGTACACTCATAGCCGCCAGTGCTGAAGATCCGGTAGCAGCTCAGGTTCCGGGGTCCCGAGGCTGAGACTAAAGAAGACGCCAGAGGTTTGAGACTGGACCAGGACGTAGAGGGTACTGTGAGGTACCAACATACCACCAGGATGAATCTTTGTGACACTTACATAATCTGCTGTCACTTTAAGCTTGCAGTGATTCCCAGAATCCTCCCTCCCCACATCTCCCTGCTCAGTCTGCTTTTGCCTCCTTGCTCACTGGTCCCCAAACACACCACATACTTCCCCCAAATATTTTTTTATGATTATAATTTTATTACAGCAAAAAAGGATACAAATGAAGAAAACGTGCAGGACGAGGTCTAGGAGGGCTCCCACTCAGAGCTTCCATATTGCTGAAAGTATGGGGACTGATGTCTTTCACCAAACAGGAAGCCCTACTGGTCTCGACAGTCCAGCTTCATCATCAGTGTCTCCTCCTCCACCTCCCAGCAGCCCAAAGCAGCCCTCTCTCTCTCTCCTCCCTGCTGGGTCTTTTCATAGCACGTATTGTATGCAGTCTATGAAATCATATGTCTGAGTCTATCCACCCACCTACATCCATCCGTCTATCTATCTACCTATCCATCCACCCATCCATCCAGGCATTTAACTAAGAAGTCAGCTGGGCTCACAGTGATTCCATCATGTCTAGAACTGTATCTCCACATAGTATGTGTTCAGTGTATTTTTATAGAACCACAGAATGGGCCCAAGCAATAAGCTGCCTGGATAGTACAAGTTGGGTGGGGACTTCAATGAACTGTTTTGCTCCATTCATTGATCCTCTGAACAGACCCAGACTCCAGTCCATGATCTTGTGAGGGAGACTCAGGCTTGGGTCAGAGGGTGACTGCTGCAGGATACCATAAGCTCAGCTGAGGATGGGTGGGCACGCTGTGCTCAAGAACCCAGGCAGGCCTGGGTCTTTAACAAGTGGGAGGAGGCTGATGGAGGGGGTTGCTAGGGGTGGAGTTATTCAAAGGCCAGTGTAAACACCCCCAGAGACTGCCCCGAACCTGAGTCTGTGTCCACGTATGGCAGGTCCTGAAAACAGCATCTGTTGGCTTCACAGGCTCCAGCTGCCACAAAGAAATAATGACATTATTAGTCTCAAATAGTGAGAGGAGAAGGACTCACCTGTGGGCCTACATACAACCAGCCATCTGCCCACTCACCTGCATACCCACCCATCTGTAACCACCTGACATCCACCCACTCACCCATCCATCCATCACCTACCCATATATCCATGCATTCATTCACCTACTCTTTAGACCACCAGTCCATCCATCTAGTCATCTGTCCATCCTCCCATTCACCCATTTATCCATTCTTCCACCCATGTATCCATATATAATATGCTGTCATATATTATCCAACCATCCACCCACCCACAGATCCATCCAATTTGCCTTTCAATACTCTTGGTCTCTATATATAAAATCCCCAAGTGGAGACCAAGAGACAAGTTGAGTCCCTATGGGAAGGTCACCGCAAAAGGAAAAAGACAGTAAGATGGACAGCCTTGGGGAATTAAGAGAAATAGGGTGTGCAAAGGGTGCTGTGGGTTAATGCGCTGGACTGCAAAATCGGTTTGAACCACAAGGTCGGCAATTCAAGCTCACCAGGTACTCCTCAGAAACCCTACACAGGGTTGCTGTGGATCAGAACCGACTCGACAGAACTTAACAACAACAAGGACATCAACGTATATGGAGCCAGTGTGGTAGACGGGTAGAATGGCAGCCCAAGCAAGCGGACTACAACCACAGCAGTGGGCACCTCTGGAAAGCCTTGTGGGTGGGGGTGGGGAGGGCAATCGTCCTCAGCCAGGAGTCGCCCTGTCTCCAGGAGTTCCAGAGTCTTCCAGGAGCTGACCTGAGTGAAGGGGTCCTGTTGGGAGGATTAGAATCTTTGGGAGAGAAAGTCAACACCTTAGGCAGAGCTGAGGCTGCAGTTCAAATCTTCCCTCCACAGGGGGCCAGTGCCTCCTTCCCCACCCGATCCCATGAGATAGAGAGAGTGTATCTTCTTGCGTATATGTGTGTTTAGACTTAGAGATATCCAAGGGAGCTTTTAAAAGTTCGTGAAAAAATTCCATTATCTTTCCATTCAATTTTTCCATGAACTTTTTGAAATCCCTTCTTATAAACACATTGCCATCAAGTTGATTCCAACTTATAGATATAGATGCCAGCTGTTCCTTGGAAACCCTATAGAGGGTCACTATGAGTCAAGACCAGTTTGATGGTACTTAATAACAACAGCATACAGATAGAGATCTGGAGTCCTGGTGTGGTGCTGTAGGAGAAATACTGGACTGCTAACCACAAGGCTGACAGTTCAAACCCACCAGTCACTCCTCAGAAACCCTGTACAGGGTTGCTATAAGTCAGAACCAACCCGACGGCACTTAACAGCAACATAGGTATAGATGGAGTCCTGGTATGATGCTGTAGGATAAGCACTGGGCTTCTGACTACAAGGTAAGTGTTTTAAACCCACCAGCTGCTCCTTGGAAACCCTTTACAAGATCCCTATGAATCGGAACTGACTTGATGACACTTATCAACAATAATGACGTAGATATAGAAGGAATACCGGCATGGCACTGTAGGATAAGCACTGGACTGCTAACCGCAAAGTTGGCGGTTCAAACCCATCAGTCATTTTTTGGAAACCCTATAGAGAGTCACTATTAGTTGAAATTGGCACTTAACAAAAACAACAAAAATAGATACAGGAATCAAGAATCCAGAAATTAACCCATCCACATACAGCCAACTGATTTTCAACAAAGTACCTAAATATATCACATTGGTAGGGGATAGTCTTTTCAACAGATGGTGCTGGCAGAACTGGAAAATGATATGCAAAAGACTGAAATAAGACCTTCACCTCACACCTTATACAAACACCAACTCAGCAAGATTAGAGACCTAAATGTGAATCCCAGAATTATGAAGGCCATCAATGAAAAAATAGGACAAATGTGAGGGCACTAATTCAGGGAATACACAGACTACCAAACATTTTTAAAACTACACAAACAAAAGTAGTCAAAATCTTTTGCAATGACACATCAGACAAGGGACTAATTTCTAAAATATATAGGAAACTACAACACCTCTACAAGACAAAGACAAATAACCCAATTTAAAAATGGGCACAGGATATGAATAGACAATTCACCAAGGAGGAGATCCAGGCAGCCAACAAACATACGAAGAAATGTTCACAATCACTAGCCATTAGAGAGATGCAAATCAAAACAACAATGAGATATCATCTTACACAAGCAAAGATCAAAAAAATAGAGGACAATAAATGCTGGTGAGGATGTGGAGAGACTGGGATGCTCCTGCATTGCTTGTGGGATTGCAAAATGGTCCAACCTCTCTGGAAAGCAATATGGAGTTTCCTCAGAAGATTGGAAATAGAAATACCTTATGATCCAGCAATCCTTCTACTTGGTATTTACCCACAAGAGACATGAGCCATAACATAAGTAGATATATGCACACCAATGTTCATAGCAGCACTATTTACAATAGCAAAAAGATGGAGACAGCCTAAGTGCCCATCAATTGAAGAATGGATAAACAAACTGTGGTACATACACACAATGGAATATTATGCTACCTTGAAGAATAACAAGGAAGCTGCAAGGCACAGCATAACATGAATGAACCTTGAGGCCATTATGCTGAGTGAAATTAGTCAATTACAAAAGGTGAAATACTGCATAGGACCACTATTGGAAAAAAACTAAGAAAAAGAATGCATACTAAAAGGTGGGGGGGAGGGGTTCTTTGCTGGTTACTGGGATGGGGAAGGTTGGGCGAGGGGAGGGAGGGGAAAGTAGAGCACAGGGTAGGGAATAGACACAGGCTGGTTTGAGTGATGGGAAAGGGGGGCAATACACAAGAAGGGGGAGAGGAATGGAAGAAAAAGGTGGCGGGAGAACAGTTAAGCAGGTTTGCATGGGTAAAGTGAGACAGAGGTAAATAATAATGTATGCACAACCTTGGAACAACAGGGCTCTGGGATACAGGGATTGAGGCATGGTTGGAAAGGGCAAAAGTGGGGGAAACGATGTTAAAAGGCTTGGCTGTCCTTTGAATCTTAGTTTCCCTTGCATACCATTATAAAATAGACACTTGAGGGGGAGAGAAAGGAGTAGCCAGAAATATCACCATAGAAAACTTGTAAGTCCATCTTCTGCTTATAACTGATTGGAATACCTAAAATGGGGCTACAACATGCCCAGTAAAGGAGGCTTCCTGTGGAGCCTCTGCATTACGTAAGACCGTAGGGGGAATCCTGAACCCCATCCAGAATCTTCTGAGGTGGGAAATTTCCACTTGAAAGGACAAGCAGACCAGCCTGGAGTGGCTAGAACAGAAGATACTTCTTGAAAGAAAGACTGACAGGATAAATACAAAACAGTAACAGCAATCCGACTGACTACTACAAAAACAAGCAATTTGCTCGCCCAGGAGACATCACGGCAAGTGGTTGGGTCCCCTCAGTGGACACCCTTTCCAAGACTAAGACTCAATGGGAATACACGAGCAGACATGCACTCTGTATAAGGGGAAGTGAGGAAAAAACAGCAATGAAGCAGCAAGCTAAGTAAGCCCTACCACGTTCAATAGACTCCTGTGAACCTGGGTGTAGACCTGGTTGGCTAGCAGTGTGGCAAGACCTGGGGACTCCTAGGCCCAGAGTCAGTGACATAGCCACAGAGGACTAGAGTGGAGAGTGAAGCGTCCAGTGGATAAGAAGTGAGGGCATATACACAAGAACACCCACACTTGCAGATAATAGCCACTTGACCTGGCTTCAATGGCTGGATGATCAGAATTCAAGTAGAATAAGAGGAAAAAAAGAGTAATCTGATACAATTGATGAACTTGACCTACACCTATGGATGCAGTAGCTCAAAAGAGGGAATAAATCTTTACAACAAGGATCATTCCCACCCCCTCGATGCACAGGGTAGACAGGGATGGGCAACTTGGACATTGGCTACCCAAAATGGGGGGGGGGGGCAAGAAAGTGACTGCCTTACAAAGGCAAGAAGTGACTGCCTTACAAGCTTTCAAGAGGGAGAGTAGATTTAGAAGGTGTGGAGGAAGGCAGACTCTCCACGGAGTAGTGTCCAATCTGTTGGGCGGGGCTGATGAGATGGGGATGGCTCTCATGTGGCACAATAGTGAATAATTGCTATCAGGACTGACTTTGAGGGTTGGAAATGTAAAGGTCGACATTTTCTAGCAAAACAAGTGGAGTGGTTGCCTTTGCAGTCCAGGAGCAGAGGTCCCTGGGACCATCAAGGGAGAAGAGTGGAGAGCGGGACCCTACCCAGAGAAGCAGTGAAGCCAGAGATGGAGGCAGAGATGATGACGTGGAGAGAGGGAACAGCTGGGAACTCTAGACCCAGAGAGGGAGAGGGGCTGTGTGTTGACAACCAGGGGAAAGGCTTGCAGGGTATACCCTTTGGTTGGTTGATGATGCATGGAGGGGATTGTAACCATGGCAATGAAATGATATACAATAGGATGAATGTAAAGCTAATGTTCTCCCATGTAAACTATCACATAATTCACAATAAAACATTAAAAAAAAATAGATACAGGGATAGATAGACAGACACAAATAAACATACATGTTGTTGTTGTCAGGTCGGAACCGACTCATAGCGACCCCATTCACAGCAGAACGAAACAATGTCCGATCCTGGGCCAACCTCACTACCACCGCCACACTTGACGCCATCAATGATGTCACCTGGCTGATCCATCTCGTTGGGGGTTTTACATTATGTAGATCTGTTAAAATGGGGGCAGTGGCAATTCTGTGGTAGAATTCACACCTTCTGTGCTAAAGAATCAGGTCCAATTCTTGGCCAAAGTACCTAGTGCACAGAAACCACCTGTCTGTCACTGGTGGTTTGTGCGTTGCCAGGATGTTGAACAGGGTTTAACGGAGTACCCAGACTAAGACAAACTACAAAGAATGACTTGGCAATCGACTTGCAAAAATCAGGTAATGAAAACCCTGGGGATTATCAGGACCCAATCCACAACTGATCATGGGGATGGCCCAGCACTGGGCAGCATCTTATCCCATTGTGCATGGAGTCGTCATGAGTTGGAGCCAACTCAGCGATCGCTAACAAGGACAAC